CACACACACACATACACACACACACACACACACACTTGAAATTACAGACCACAAGTTGGGACAAATAAATTGCAGAATCAATGCCTTTGACCTCCAGAACAGTCCATAAATCAGTGCAGGATTTTTTCCCCTTAGGAACTGATGCATAAAGGTCTTTAAATGTATAGGAGGGCTCAAAATATGCCTTGTACCACTTCAGAATGGTTAAACAAATGTTTGGGAAAGAATGGGGAAAGCAATAGAAGGAGAAGACCACATACAAACTCACACGTCCATGAACACTGTGGCATTCCATGCTAGAGCTACAGACTTGTAAAATCCGAACCACAATTATATGGTGTCATAAATACCAAAGAGAACTAAAATATTGTACTGATGATGTTACCTAGTTGGGTAATGAAACGTCTGCAAGCAAGCAACCAAGCTCAGAGAGCAGCAAGGACTCCATAATTAAAATAACATTTTTTCCCCTTGAGGCTGGACAATACTCACCACTGTATTTATATAGACTAGGACATAATAAAATCCTAATCCTGATCTGGCTTGTGGACAATGGCTATAATAGGGATGATCACTAACAATGAAAATATACAAAATAAATTCTATTTCATGGCATATATCCAAGATCAGCAAAGTTAATGTTTCTGTTGGTTTCTGTGGGCTTGATTTCTTAATCTTAATGGTGCTTAAAAAAAGAAAGAGAAATACCAAAGAGTGAAAAAACAGAAACAGAGATTAAATGGAAAGTTGTTTAAAAAGTGAAGCCCCTTATATGGTCCTGTTCAGTCAGTCCCTAGACAATATGCCAGGTTCTTCAGTACAATCTGGTTTCAAGGTATTATCTTAAGCTCTGGGACAACTGAAGTGATTCTACCCCATGTGATAAACCAGACTTTCCCAACCTTGGCACCCTCTCAGTGTGGGATTTCAACAGCATTTCAGAATTCTCAGTAATGGACATGATGGCTGAGGAATTCTGGGAGTTGAAATCCACCCATTGAAAGGGTACTCAGACTGGTGTGGGGAACTATGTGCTTAGCCTTCCCCAACCTGGTGCCTTCCCAACAGTTCCCAGAATTCTAAGTCAATAAAAACACTGTAGGGGCCTTGTGTTTCTTGACCATTCATATTAAATTCTTCGTTAGCTCACCTGCAGCCAAACTAGAAATGATATTACTTATGGGACTGCAATATACATCTTGTTGCAATATGCATCAACCAAGGAGAAAACCACACCCCCACCAACACAGGCAGGGCAAGCTACAGTATATAAACAGGATGCGAACCCCACACTCACACTGATGATGTTACCTAGTTGGGTAATAAAACGCCTGCAAGCAAACAACCAAACTCAGAGAGCACCAAGGACTCCACAGTTCAACCCTGAGCTACAGCTATTCTCTTCTACTGGCATCTTGTTTATTAAGGAAACATCAGCAAACCATATGGACGGGCAGGGGGAATTCAACTCTTTCTTTTCCTGTTCTAATAACAACAAAAATGACTCCTCCAAATTTATTATTTGCATTTTAAGAGTGACTTTATGCTTATTATTTGAATCCCCCATTCCTGATAAACAAATTTGTCATTTACTACTATTTACTCCAGACTAATACAGTTTATCATTCTCTGTACCAGAATTTTGATTATGAATGAATTTAAACAAGCCCTCCCCAAACAAATGCTCTCCAGATGGGTTGGACAGGTTAGCTTAAAACGGACCCAGTATGGCCAGTGAGTGATCTTGTTAGCTGAGAATTATGAGAGTTGCAGTTTGATACATATGAAGAACACATTGAACCATCAGCAATCTGAAGTCAAAAGGATCTGAACTTTGGAGAAAAGAGAATGTAGAAAGTTAAGACAGAGAAGGGACAGGCAGACTGCTTCCAGAAAAAAATGTTTTTACATGGCTGTATATTTCTGATCAGGGGAGGAAGAATCAGAATTAAAGCATTCCTGACAGATAGTAGTCCAGCTTTTACTTGAAGCATCTAGTGCAGGGAAGACCATAGCTTTCAGCTTTATGGAGCAAAACAGTGATGGGCAACAGAATTTCTTTGTTTTATTTAGTTATTTGATTTACAGCCTGCCTTTCTACTCTGGCAAGTATTCAAGACAGCTGGCAAACATTAAATCCAAATCTTACATTTAATTAGAAATCTTTTTTTGACTTTTGACTCAGATCACTGGCCCATTACTCAGCACTTTCTACCCAAGTTTCAAAATGTTCTGGAAAACTCCCTGAGTACTAAACACAACTTCCTCTAAGTGATAACTGGATCTCTTTTTCTTTCTTTCTTTCTTTCTTTCTTTCTTTCTTTCTTTCTTTCTTCTTTCTTTCTTTCTTTCTTTCTTTCTTTCTTTCTTTCTCTCTCTCTCTCTCTCTCTCTTCTTCTCTCTCTCTCTCTCTCTCTCTCTCTCTCTCTCTCTCTCTC